TGGTAAGTAAGCATTGTAGTCGCATATGAGTGTGAGTTCATAGGGGACATGGTCTCCATGGAAACGGTGTCCGAACTGCTGCCTGCAACGAGAGAGAATGAGCTGGATGTGACTTAAACCGCTCCGTCTGATGGCTTATAATGCAATCTGTCAGGCAAGGAGTGTGTGTGTGTGTGTGTGTGTGTGTGTGTAGGTGGATGTTCTGCTGATCATATTAACTGGCAGTGAATGAAGACAAAGGTTCCTGCAGTTACAAGCTTTACAATTTAAAAGCAAAGGACGTATCCAGGCAACGGGGACTGTGATGACAACGAGCTATAGGTGATTGTATACACACACACACGCAGGCACACACACATGGCAGACGTGCACAAACTGAGCGAGCTGGCTCAGAATGACCCACTTTCTTTGTAACTTGGATTGTGTTGCTCCCTCTTCATTACCTCTAACAGGACATTGTGAATGATAGCGGACGTCTCCACTCGCGGCCTGTGATCCTGAATCACGGCTGTTAATTATGTAACTGTGCCCACGTCCTCCCACTGATGGAGGGAAATTAGGTGACTGTGTCAAAAACCCACATCCTGCCTGCTGAATACAAACTGTGTTGGAAGACCTTCAACATCAATATGAATTCAGAAATATATATAATCAGTGATCTCTTATTGGAACAAATGAACGGATGTATGAGAGTGTCTGTGGTCAGTATCAGTCACTGTGTTCCGTCAGGAGCACAAAGATTTTAATTACATTTTTTATTAACATTTAACCAAAATGATCATCTTTCCCTAACCTTAACCAAAGTGCTTTTGTTGCATAACCCTAAGACAGGAGTCTGGAGACGAACCCAAAGATCTGGTATCAAGATATTGAACTTTGCATACCCACCTTCCTCCTCCTTGCAAAGTTTGTGTGAAACTTGTTAACATTATCCATGGGCAGCGAGTGCGTTGCCACAGCAATGTAATTAGAAAAGTTTACGTTTTGTGACATACAAACGTAACTTCTAGTAGAGAAGATTGCATAATATTAAGTGTATTTCCATCCTGCTCTCAAACAGAAATGGTCAAATACCTCAGCTTTGTCAGTGACACCTGATGCCACAAGCCACCTTCTGTGACAGTATCATACGTGACGCGACAGTATGATACACGAACAGGTGGCGGCACCTGTCATGGCAGTATACGTCACTGGATAGAGTCAGTTTGAAACGCTGCCAGTAACAACATAATATAAGTAGCTGGGAAATCTCTATAGGGCGGCATGAGGGGGCGTGGATGGGTTCAACAAACCTTCCTGTTTGAATGTAGAGCCAAACCATGATGTTTTTTGCTAAGGGTGCTTTCATACCTGCCCTGTTTGGTTCGGTTCAATTGAACTCAAGTTTGTTTGCCCCCTCAGTGCGGTTCGTTTGGGCAGGTGTGAACACAGCAATCACACTCAGGTGCGCACGAAAACAAACTAACTGACATCACCTCTTTGAGAAGGTCTCGCTCACAAAGGAACTCTGGTGCGGCTGGTTTGTGGTGAGAAGGTGTTCCGACCTGGATGTGAACCAACTGCAGTCACATGACACATTGTTTGGGTTAAACATGAGCATGTTACAGTCCTGGAGGATTATTAATGTGCACCTCCTCCTGTACTGCCTTAATATGCACATTCATCACATCCAATGCATCAAAACATTGTTTTCTAGTTGGAGCCGCGCCTCGTTTTCAAACTGTATGGTTTGACTAAAATGAACAATGACAGCAATATAGTCCACGATGAGCAGCGCTAAAATCAACCTGCGTAGTTGTCCCTCCATTGTGACATTAGAAAGTGTCACATTTATCTTGCAAGTGTACTCTTCTTCAACGTTTGCTTTACTTCCCAGTTCCTTTTGGCTACTCATCAGCTGTGTATACCGGAAACACTTAAAATTCCCATATCCTGTAAACTACCAACTGGCCCCATCACCTCACCACCGGATCTGTATATTTCCTGGAAACCCTTCACTCTCCGAGGCCCACCAGAAATAAATGATGGCTGTGTTTATGTACTGTCAAAAGAAGAAAGACCACTCTGGAGATTTAATATTATTTAGCCAAGTGGCTCTCAACCAGAGGTCCAGGGAGCCCAAGGGGTCCTTGGGGGAGTTCCAAAGGGTCCCCAGAAAAATGGGAAAGAGTTTAAGAGTGAATATTATGATCACAGGTTTCACTCAGGTGTTAAAGCAACACTTACCTTTCTGGAAATTTGACACTTTTCTTTGTTTAGGTTAAAATGCTATTAATAAGCTGATGACACACTAAAATGTAAGTGAATTCCACCAGAGATAAAAACTCATAACTACACCATTCTCATATGGATCTAAGAAAACTCCGACCAATCATTGCATTTGGACCAAAAGGGAAATCAGTTGGCAAAAGAAAGAATAAAGCAGAAAAAGCTAACACTAAGAGAGAACTCGATGCTGCAAGAGCCAAAACTCGAGTCAACATCGGCTCTGCCTTCGAGCGATGGCGAAGACTGATGCAGCTTCATCCTGAGCTAAAAAGGCACGAGATGGTTGCAGAGTTTCTGCTGGACAGGTATTTTTAGTTTGCTTCTAATATAACATATAACATATGACAACATGGCATCCAGTTGCTAATGGCTAACGTTAGCCTACTGTAGCGTAGCCTCTGAAACATTAACGTTATCTTCCTTGTGCGTTTCCACTTACTAGTAACGTTAACGCTACTATCTAACCTACTGTAGCGTAGCCTCTGAAACATTAACGTTATCTTCCTTGTGCGTTTCCACTTACTAGTAACGTTAACGCTACTATCTAACGTTAGCACTGTAACCTTATTCTAAAACTCATCAGTCATCACTGACTCCAGTTGAGTTTTAAAACTCTGGGGTTGCATTTGACTGTCTTGGCTGTAACGTTACACTCGCTCTCCTCTTCTGTGTACCTGACGTTACCATGCCAACGCCTACATCTATCTTAGACATAATGAGGATGTAATGGAGGAGGGGGAGTTGCCGGAGAACTGTAGTTGAGAACTCTGGTCTTTATCTTATCTGACAACTAAAATCTTTTCAGGTGGAGGTCTCTGGAGTGAAATCTTATCAAACGGGGGTCCATGACCTCATGTGTATAAATTTAGAGGTCCTTAACATTAAAAAAAAGACTAAGAATCAACAATTTAGCCAGTTAATGATATATCTTTGCTGTGGATAGTTTTCAGAAACATGCTGTTCCCAGTTATCTTTGATGCTTTGAAACAGCTGAACACATATGATCCATCTGTCAACATTTTTCCAAGTGACTTTCACATGAGAAAACATTTTCTGTTGGTGAGTTCAAGGACATTTTGACATCTACGCTCTGAGTCAGCTGAACAGAAACGTTTTTAATGAAACAACTGACAAAATGATGTTTCACACTACAATTATTGTTTGTCTTCTGGCTTTGTTCTCTCACAACAGTGCAGGGATGACAATTCGTAATCAACTTGTGATGAAATGGTGATAAAATCAACGCAAAACACTCTTCAGACTTAAAGTGGTGCCTTTATACGTCTTTGCCTCTCAAACAAACCATGTGTTTTATTCCATTAAATCAGTCACAGCCCAGCTGATCTGAACAAAGACTCTTCCGGCAGCTACACTTTGAAATAATCCATAAATCATACCAATATTTGACACAGATAGAGCTTCTCTTTACAAAGAAGAAGTCATGATATGTAGATAGCTTGTTCCACAATATTTACTCAGAAAAAGATGGTGGACAAACAGCAAATAACTCCACACATGATGAAAGCGTCTAAAGCGTCCCATCGGGCTGGAACTGTCCTTCAACCCCTGCTGGTGTCAGACCACGATGGCCACATTCCTACATGAATATCATGGCTCCTTTACCCTCTGCCTTCATCCTTCCTGACTTTGTGTTTGGATGTGAGTGAGGGTTTTGGGAATTCCTCCTCTCGTATTATTTGATGATGTTTTGATTTGTTGGCTAATCTACGGCACAGACACGAGCGTTCAGCCTCTCAAACACAAAGCTAAACACTGACTGGATAACAGAGAGTAGTGAGACAGAAAGCTACAGTAAGTTGTGTTAACTTGCTCTGGTATGGATTGTTAACTACAGTAAATGGCAACCACATGATGTTGTGACGGTACAGTTTCATATTGCTTTATATTGCTTGTTATATGAAGGTATTATTGATGCTACAGACACAGAGGTTGGGATACACTGCAAGGACTACACCAACGGTTTGCCCATTGCTCACTTTACCCTCCATCTGACAAAGTTTCTGTTTTTGGTGTACAGTATACGCAAGGCGAGCAACTCGGTAGCCATCTTGGTATCCGGTATCTAGGTATAATATATCTATGGTCCGTCAACATAGACCTCCATGTTAAAGGGATAGTGCACCCAAAAAAGAAAATTCAGCCATTATCTACTCACCCATATGCCTATGGAGGCTCAGTTGAAGTTTTAGAGTCCTCACATCACTTGCAGAGATCCAAGGGGAGAGGAGGTAGCAACACAACTCTACCTAATGGAGGCTGACGTCGCCCCAGATTCAAACATCCAAAAACACATAATTGAAACCACAAAATATCTCCATACTGCTCGTCCGTAGTGATCCAAGTGTCCTGAAGCCCCGACATAAAAAGTTGTTTGGAAAAACAACCTTTGAACTCTGAACTGTTTTTAGCCTCATTGTAGCCTGTAGCTCTGACTGCCTCTCTGGGCACGGCGCTCATGTGTGCACGCTTGGACACTTGGATCACTACGGACGAGCAGTATGGAGATATTTTGTGGTTTCAATTATGTGTTTTTGGACGTTTGAATCTGGGGCGCCGTCAGCCTCCATTAGGTGGAGTTGTGTTGCTACCTCCTCTCCCCTTGGATCTCTGCAAGTGTTGTGAGGACTCTCAAACTTCACCTGAGCCTCCCTCGGCATATGAGTGAGTAGATAATGGCTGAATTTTCATTTTTGGGTGCACTATCCCTTTAACATGTCCAACAGGAGTCAGAAATTCAGTTTTTCTCGTAAAATTATTTAGTTTTAACTGTTTTAAACCTGTTTCCCTAAAGATTTGCATTGGAATTATTGCAGTTAACTACAACTGTAAGTGCTCTGTGTTAACCAGGCTAGCAGCTAGCATTAGGGTTATCTCCACTTTCTCGTCCAAATATGGTCACCTTTAGCTCCAAACATTCAAGATGGCGACAGCCAAATTGCCAAACTTGAGGCTTCATTGGGGAATCCACAAACTAGAGGGTGATGTCACAGTGGCTACGATACCTTCCTCCATTGTGGATGGCTTAGTCTCTTAGTTTCCTCAAAGGTCAGAACTGTCGAGTTAGCTTTTGGTCAGCAGCACAATTTTTTTAACATCACGTATCCTGAAAATTTAGCAGGCAGGCCAGACAGTTTTGGTGCCAACACTGTCATCCTATAATTAATTAAGTGACCAATAGGCAAACATTTTTAAACGTTCATGGAGTCCATCAACTTTACAATGGTCTCCTTCCAGTGTTTTAACCTGTAGAAACTTATTTCAAGTCTCTCCAAAGATAAACTAATCATTGTTTCAGACAAAACGTCAGTTCAAGTGACGAACATCCTTTAAGAAAGCAAATTAAATACATGTAATCATTCCTTTTCCATATTAATCAGGTTAAAAGACTGGAATAAAACCACTGTTTGGTGGGTATTGACTATTCAGAAACTGTCTTGTGATAAATGTACAAACAGAAGAGTGTTTCATGCAGAGTTAAGACATGAGTCCATTGCTAGCAGGTACTGAGGAGATGAGGAGTTGTCAGGGAAGAGAGAGTTCAGGTTCAGCTCATGTTGGCTGTTGATGTCCTGCAGACGTCTCAGAGCCTTGCTGACAGTTGGATCCTCTAGAAGGTCAGCACTGAAACGGGGAGGACAGTTAACTCACAGCAGCAGGTTGGCAGGATCACTTTGGTTTCAGCTTCATCCGGTGGGAGTCGCATGCAGGGCAGCACAGAAACAGAGAGGAGGAAGAGGACATGCAGACCTGCATGCGTGGAGGCGAGCAGAGATCACTTACAGTCGACCTCCAGGATGGCTCTGACAGTCCTTGTGAGCTCTTTTGCCTCCTGGGCGAGTGTGGCTGCTGTCCAGGGACTCTTCTTGTAGCGAGGGGGGAGGCTTGACGATGATGACGATCCAACTTTAACGTCTCCAGAGCTGCAAAATAAGACAAGGATTAATTAGCAGTGAAAAACAACTTTGACCGCAGACAGCCACAGGTGGAGCCATCATGGTGGAGTCGGTGGTCCTACATGATGACTATGGAGGTTTTTCCAAATAAAGAGCCAAAGTCCCAACGCCATGTCTAGGCTAACAACTGTCCGTTTAGTTTGGGCTCTGTCTAAATGTTGGCAATGTCCATTTCTTCAAACAACATTTGTACGTTATTATGTAGCTCAGATGTTGAATTCAACAACACGTGGTGAGGTTTAGGAACAAAGAACACTTTTAGGACAAGATCATGTTTTGTCTTAAAATAAAAAAGTCAATTCACAGTGCTGTACTGACGTAGTGCTTTTATTTTGAAAGAGACTGTATGCAAACTGTACATTTCCTGTGAAAACAGAAGTGTATTTTGAAAACAGACAATGCATGTAACAGGCTGAAGTTGTCACTTCGTCCCAGAACGTCAACAACCAACACACCCAGGGTACCTTGGACGTCATATGTGGACGTGGAAAGTCCATGACCAAACGTGGACATGTGACGAGGTCAAAGTGGGAATGTGTTGTTGTAGCAGACCTGCAGTGGTTTGGGAGTTTTTTACAGATATCTGAGGCCAAAAAACAAAACTCTTCTTCCGCGTGTTTAGGGTTGACTTTGGGGACACAAAGCAGACCTGTCCCTGAAGATCTGAGAAGTCTGGATGGTTTGTAGTGTAGCAGGTCAGAAATGTATCTGAACATAAACCACGTAGTGCATTTAAAACTAGTATTACTAGTATTTTGAAATTGATTCTTTGAGATACAGGACGCCAGTGTGAAGACATCAGAGGGGTCAATAAAAACACCCACACTGGTGTCTAAAAAGCTGCTGGAAAGGCAACAACTGGTTTTGTTGTTTGTTGGTCTCCAACAGTTGTCTGGTAAAAGAAATGATGATATGATACATATGAAATATAACGTATCCATGCTTTGCAGAAATCTACAATTCCAACTTTTTTTATCAGGTGACCGGCTCTGTGTATTTCCTGGGATCGCTCACTCATAGGCCGACAGTACACACACACTCTCAGCAACATGCTAGCTTGTGTATTTTCTGGAAATACTTCAATCCGACAGGTTCCATTGAAAAACAGTGAAGAGTCGCCAAAAAAACACCCACGTCTGGGGGCTAAATGTGGCCGGAAACACAGCAATGACTTGCTATAAAACAGTTTTGGTGTGTGTTGCAGTTTAACAGTGGTCTGCAGCTTGGTGTCACACCATCCACCTTCCCCTCCATGGTCCTCTTATACGTCACTTTAAAAATGTTGATATGACATTCATGGTTTGCAGAAACATGCAATGCCAACAACGTTTGTTTATTTTTTTTGTTTGTTTGTATGAAATGCCCAGTGCTGTATTATTATTTCAAATTCTTAAACAAGTAAACCACTATTACCAAAACCAAATCTATCGCCTGCTGAAATAAATATTTTTGTGTGTTGAGCTGCCAAGAACAAACAGAAACAGACAGTTTAAAAAAAAAACAGTTGCCACCTGTTCTGTCCATGAGAGCCTCTCGTGCTGGTTTTACTGGTTTGGAGGAGCGACTAAAAGCTTTAAATAACACTCATGAAGCTGCTTGTTGATGTGGGTTGGTCACAGCCTGATGAGTAAACTCACACCTCCAGGTGTTTGACTGATGGAGGGAGCTAAAAACACTTTCTAAAGCTGCTGAAGTGACCACGTCGCCATGGTTGCAGCTGTTAGTCGGTTCACACTCCCATCAGTAAACACTGAGGTCGCTGTAAAACACAGACAGGATCAACCTCAGGATTTTATGCTTTATTATTTATTTCTGGAAATAAAGACTTAATTTCTCCACCCTCTCTCCTGAAGGACGTTTCCTTTCCTGCACACCTCTTTCTTTGTAACAGCGCTGAAGTCAGGGTGACTAATGGCTTTAATGAGAGTGATATTCAGCATCATTAACTGGGAGTGAGTGGGCAACACAGAGACATTCATTGCCAACAAAGAGGAGCGACGCCTGCTCCCTCGATGAATCGAACCATTGGACAACCTACATTTGCTCTTACGAGTGGCCTAGAAAAGGATGGACAGGTGAATAAAAAGAAAAACACGAGCAGGGGGTCCCGTGGTTACAAAACACAAGTGGAGATGTCCCACTGACCTGGACTGAAATAAAAGGAAACCCCACAGGAGGTGTCATAGCTGGGTGACTTAATAACATGACCAATTGACCTGATTTACAGGATGTGACTTACACAACCGAGCAGAAGGTGCTGATAATGCCATGTTATGGTTCACTAAGTGCCAGATCAGAACTCAGTACAAACGAGGAGACATCACAGAGTCGTTTTACATACAGTGGAAAAAATACATTACAGGTATAAATCCTGCTTCAACAATATAACTGAAGAGGAAGTCAGAGTTAGGATGGAAGGTTAAGAGGAAAGACTCTTAGAAAAAAAATAAAGAAAGAAAGGAATTAAGGAAGGGAGGAAGGAAGAAGGAAATGATTAAGGAATGGAAGAAGGACAAAAAAGGAGGAAAGAAAGACAGAATGAAACAAAAAAGAATACCAAAGGATGCAAGAAGGCTGGAGGGAAGGGCGCTTAGAATACGGCGAAAGGTATATGATATGCAAAAAGAAGGGAAGGAAAGAAAAAGAAAGGGGGAGATTTAAGAAATGAAACAAGCAGAACAAACGACACAAGAAAACTGCAAAGACAGATGTAAATGTAAATGGTATAAGGACAGAGGGATGGAAGGATATTCAAACAATACAAGAAAGAAAAGGAAGCAATAAAAAAATCAAGGACAAGCAGAAGGTAAGAAAGGTGAAAGGAAGAAAGAAAAGAAAAACCTATAGTAAAGAATGGACAGACTAAGGAAGAAAGCAAGAAGGAAAGGAAGAAGCAACAGAAGGAAAATTAAAGAACAACTGAAAAGGAGGAAAGAAAGAAAAAGTCGCAGAAATGGAGGTTGGAGAAAAGGAAAGGAAAGATGGTAAAGGGTACTACAAGGAGACATGACAGAGTGAGAAGGTAAGGAGGCACAGGATTGAAGGAAAAGGTTCAAGTAATTGAAGAAGGACAGAGGAAAGGAAGGAAGCACGGAAGGAAGCATGGACAGACGCCCGATGTAGAGATATGAACTGTCTGACATGCATGCCTCCATGTCGGCCATTAAAAGGTGATATTGCACACCTGGTAACACCTGAGGGTTTATCTAATACCTGGAACAATCATTGGCACCCCATATGGTTCTTCACTCCTCCAGTAAATAGGAATGACCTTAGATACGACCTAGCAACGGGAGATATTCTGCCCAGCTCAGGGTGCCCTTTGGCCCAGCTATTAGCCAGAAAGCTAGCGTTATGCTAGCAAGATTCAAAGTCAATAACACTGTGTACAGTTGACAAACAGTAAATATAATTTGACAGGATGTTTGACGACAAGACTTGTTAGCTATCAGCCATGTCACTATCCCTAAATCAATATATGTCAAGATTATCATGAGTAAACGATACGCCATGTGTGACGTTACTGTCGGCAGCAGTCTGAAGTAGTGAGTTCAACAGCAGATGATTGTTTAAGTTCAGAGGGGCGGAGTCGTACCTGCAAGGTGTGTTACAGTCTCCATCCAGTCTCCCACACTCAAGGACTAACATTACTCTGTGTTGTACATCAATTGTAATCAGATTACAGATACTGATATGATTATGTAGCCGGTACATTGATTTATCACAGTAAACAAACAGTTTCAGAGGAAATACTTAGCAGGTGTCCATTATCAGTTTTTAACGGACACCCTGCAGCCAATCAGAATCGAGTAAGTTAAGGATGTGATGTTATTCGTTGGGTGCTAATTTGTAGGATATCACACGAGCCATTCTATGAGGATGCTTAGATGGAATGACAGGAAAGATATAAGAAATGACAGATTAGAGGGAAGGAGGGAAATTAAAGAAGAAAGAAAGAAAGAAAGAAAGAAAGAAAGAAAGAAAGGATAAAGGAGGAAACAAAGAAGCAAAGAAAGACTGAGAGGAAACAAAAAGAGTGCTTCTGTGATAATTAACTGAAGCTGCTCCACAGACCGCAGAAGCACGGCTCGCCTGTGAGGGCACCACGTTGCTCAACATCATTTTACATGGCTGCTCTATTTTGTTTGTTTGGGGTTTTTTTTGTTTACGTGCAGCTCCGTGTAAAACATGATAGCAGTTTGTTTAAAAATAATGACAATGAACATGTCATTGTACCCGAGGCAACGTGAAGCAGCGGAGCAACATGTTGTGTTTTCACATTTCACATGAAAATAAATCAATCAAACCGATGCATCCTGTTGTTAAATATAGTCCACACTTCCAAACTCTGCAGAACTACCTGCATTATCACTTGGTAAAACTCAACAGACACACACACACACACACACACACACACACACACACACACAGTGAGGCTGGCAGCAACCACACACTGCGGAGACGGAGTCTGTGTAGCAGGTAAAAAAACGCCTACATGAGATGAGAAATTGAATTATGCAGGGAAGGAGGGAAGTTAAAGAAAGAAAGACAGAGAGAAAGAACGCAATGTATAGAAGGATGTACAGACAGCTGTTCTTCTTCTGTGGTGTTAGCTGTGACCTCACACTGTCACGGCAGGTCAAGACGTTTCATAACACCGCTGCACTCTGCGGGCGACCATTAACAGGAGTGTTCTACCTGTCTGAAGTGGGTCAAGCTGGACCACTGAGTGTGTGTGTGTGTGTGTGTGTGTGTGTGTGTGTGCGTGCGTGCGTGTGTGTGTGTGTGTTTAAAGTGGGCTAATGGGCTCCGCTCTCTGCAGGATCTCTCATTATGTGACTCCAACGGTGGGTCAGACAATCACACACACACACACACACACACACACACACACACACACTTGCACATACACACTGTACTAATGACCTCATAAACTCAGGTAAAGACACACGTACACACACCACCACATTGTATACTACTGTAAACACACTATTACATATACTGATCAAGCACACAGAATCACACACACACACACACACACACACACACACACACACACACACTACCTGTAGCTCTTTGTTGGTCCGTGGCTTTCAAGCAGGAACTCTTGAACGTTCTGCAGATAAACAAAAAAACAAACAAAAAATTTGACTGGAGATCTTTTATTGTTTCTTTTCTCTGCTCTTTTCAAACGCACCACAGGTCATTACATAAACTATAATCCCACTGGAGTCAGATTATAGTTTAATGGAGTAATATCTCTTCAACCAAAGCTAAATAGTCATTTGAAGTTTCTTTTCTATCAAGTGTATCAAACACAAATATTTCATCGACTGCCATCCTTCCAGGACAAAAGACATTGTCTAGATGTGACAGAAATACACACGTGGTGTAATAAAACACAAGGAGTCTCTGGTTACCATGGACACAACTAAACCTTTCGCCAAAGTATAAACTAGAAATGCTCTTTAATTTCTAGTGACACCCTTCAATAATAGCCGGCACCCAACCATGAACCAGGCTTAATGAAGGAACATGTGACCCAGTGTGGCTCACTGATGTGATTTTATGACACAGAAGAAGAAAATCTATCAGACTATAGATACTACACTCATTAGGAGATACGGTAACGGTTGGTTTGAGTCTGAACATGAGATTTCTTGACAACCAGAACAAATACAGAATAAAAGTTAAACTGTCTACCTCCACAAAACTCAGCAGTTTTCCCGTTGACATCTCAAAACCCTTTTTGGCAGCTTCGCTCTTCCGTAGTTGACACTCCAGGACGGCCATTCTCTTCTTCAGCTCCTCCGTCTCTTCCTGGGATGAAAATGGGAAACACTGGTCTTCATAATGACGTCATGATAGTAACATGAACATTTGGAAGTTTTGAGGTGTTGGTCAAACAAAACCAGACATCTGTAGACGTCAGCTTGGACTCAGGGAAGATGTGAGGAGCATTTTTCGCTATTCCCAGACATTTTACAGACTGCTGAGACTACTGAGCAGATTAATGCATAGCACAAAGGAAACAGTTCGCCTTTTTAGGCATAACTGTACAAAACCCTCAACAAAACATTTAATGGTATGTTCTCTCACTCACTACAGCTGATCTCCTGTCCTCCCTCCGGCCTGCCCCTCACCACTGACTCTGTGCACACGGCACAGGAGGAAAGGCAGAGAACCTGCCATGGTCACCTGATATCAGACAGTCGTCAACTCGTTACAAAAGGAGTCCACATCATGAAGAGAGGAAAAATCATATTTAAAATGGAATGAAGGAGCATAAGGGAAGTGATGCCAGCTGGAGCTGAAGTTTCACTTTCAGCAGGAAGTCTGCCAGTATTGGAAGCCAGTTTGATATAGTGACCAAACCATGTAATTACAACGTCCAGGTCCGTCACATGATGCCATCAGGCCCAAAAAGCCTTTTTCCCATTGACCTACACTGGGAAAGAGACGTGTGTAAATCAGCGGGTGTATGTTTTATGCCCAGAGAAATGATTTGTTTCATCATCAGGATTTAATCCATTTGGCCTGATAACATTTTGAAAGACTCACAGAGCAGAAGGATTACATTTTTTTTATCCTCACTCAAGTTAGCGGAGTACTAAACTTAAAGTTAGCTGCTCAGTTGTCAAAGCCTCTAGTACACCTGTGCTACTGACCCCACACTGTGGAAGATCTGGGCAGTTTGTACCCAGGGACTCAAATGTTTTTGGCTTCATGTGTCACTGGCCCCGCCTCCACTACTGTATCCAGTTCTCTATATACATCCATGGATAAAAACATGCTGTAGTTAAAGCCAGCAGTGTTGACAGAGCTAACAGTCAGTATGTTTCCAGTCACATTAAAGTGGAGCTACAGTTACAGCTCGATTAGGACATTTAACTGGACTACTGTCCTTGTCCCAGTATACAAGCACAGAAGGGGAATCCATTTATTGAGCCAAGTATGTGCGACTCCTCTATGATAGCTGGAGATATGCCCCCTTTCAGCTTGTTAGTATTGGACCTTTTCCCTGTTGACCTATTACGTCACAGACCAAACAAGTTAGCTACGGTTAGCTAGCAGCTAACTGGTACCATGGTGGACAACTTTACAGCTCTGTACATTTCAAACGTGCTTTATGCTTAACTTCCAGGTCATAGCACAGGGCAGAAACTGTGGAGCATGCTCAGAGCGCCTCGGCCAGTTTGGGTCCGATTGACGGTATACATGCAGCAGTCACATGATCTGGGTGTGTTAGTCCGACTTTGAGAAATTCGATTTACTACGATTTCAGTCGGACTAACACAATAAATCATTTTTTCTCATGTCATGTAAATGTACTGAGAGTCACCCTGGGGGATCAGGAGGGTGGGCAAGATACCTCTGCAGTACTACCATCCTGATATCGGCACACATGCACTAACATGCATGCATGGATGGACCGGCTGACCACAACAAACCACAGAGAAGCTCAGATTACAACACACACAGAGGGAGGGAGCGTGACTTCATTCTCTGCTCAGGACACTATCACCTCCAGCACCCTGAATGAACCCTGACATAAAATCTTGTGCAGAGCTGGAGGATTACTGTTGCTAAACCATGTCTTGTGATTATGCACATACTGTTTTGACACTGTCAGAAGATTTCCTCAGAAAAAGCCTAAGTCAGCACTTTGTTTTCACCGTGTCACAATATTTACAATGCAGCAGAGGAGAGGAGCATCTTTCTCTCTGCTGATCTGTTAAAGCTGATTTGGCTCGTGGCGTCGGCTCGGCTTCCTCTGCTCGCCATCAGCAGTGAGCCTGCCGCTGCTGACCTGCAGGTTGCTACCCAGATTTTTACAAAAATAACCTGTCGGAGAGATTGGCGACGTCAGAGAGGGAAGCAGCTCTGTCACTGATTAAGACGGAGCAGAAACACTGACCCAGATTCACTGCTGAGGGCGGAGGAAGAAACCAAAATGCGGAGGGACAAAGGGAGGGCAGAGAGACAGAGTCAGACAAGGACAAAGAAAGATATTTTTGCGACGATATGCTCTTCAGTGGCTTTGCAATAGAGAGCATAGATGTCTACCATTTATTAAAAATAGGATAAACAACAGTCTGTTTCAGTCTCAGTTGTTTCCAGCAGCAGTAGATTCAGTTGAAGACAGTGGATCATTTAGCAGCTAAAAAGAAAGAGATCTTTCTCATGAGTTGGTGGAGGGTGTTGGCTGAGTGCAAAAACACAAATGCCACCTTAGCTGAGAAGCTTCAATGAAATGGCCTCATGAATCAGAGTTACTGGCCTGTAAATAACTGTAACTTGCTCTATCATTTTCAGTCACATTGACCCTGAAACACGCTGTAAGTTTTAAACTCAGTTAGACAGAGTCTTCGGTTTTTAATGATATTAGAATTCTTTTTGTAGTCCAAATATTACGCAAAATAATTGTTTGGCCCATGTCCAAGGTGAACAACTTGGAATGAAAAGGCACCAGCTAGCTTGTCATCACGCCTTTACAAGCTTCAAAATTGTTTATTTACTATGTTCACATAAAAGTAGCTGATGAAAATGTGAACTAATTCATATTGAAGGTATTTTTCCCCAAACTTTGCAAAATTTGCTTCAAACTTGCATTTTTTTCTTGACCACAAGAGGGAGCTTGCCAAACAAAAATAATAATAATAATAAAAAAGGACGTGTCATCTTAAGCGACAACCTACAAGTTTATAAAAACTTCTGGTCAAGGATTATATGAATGTAAAGTGAAGACAAAGGGTCCGTCCCAATACTCACACTTCCCCTCAAAATTGGCCCTAGCCCTTGTTTTTGCATGTTCCCGCAAAGGGCTAGGATGTCCCACACTTTCGGGAAGTGCTTTTCAGCCCTTAAAATCCCCACTTAATTTGAAGGGCCGTGCTATGCACACTTACGAACTCATCTCAACTGAGGGGAATATTGAATTTCCCAGGTTGCATTGCCAAACTATCCAGCCAGGCGAGTTTTCCAGGAGCATGGCAGCCTCCATGAGAAAGCCATCGCACAATTTAAGTGCTATTTTCACAAATAAGCATGCAAAAATTCCAAAACATGTCGAAATACAGTACAGGCCAAAAGTTTGGACACACCTTCTCATTCAATGCGTTTTCTTTATTTTCATGACTATTTACATTGTAGATTCTCACTGAAGGCATCAAAACTATGAATGAACACATGTGGAGTTATGTACTTAACAAAAAAAGGTGAAATAACTGAAAACATGTTTTATATTCTAGTTTCTTCAAAATAGCCACCCTTTGCTCTGATTACTGCTTTGCACACTCTTGGCATTCTCTCCATGACCTTCAAGAGGTAGTCACCTGAAATGGTTTCCACTTCACAGGTGTGCCTTATCAGGGTTAATTAGTGGAATTTCTTGCTTTATCAATGGGGTTGGGACCATCAGTTGTGTTGTGCAGAAGTCAGGTTAATACACAGCCGACAGCCCTATTGGACAACTGTTAAAATTCATATTATGGCAAGAACCAATCAGCTAACTAAAGAAAAACTAGTGGCCATCATTACTTTAAGAAATGAAGGTCAGTCAGTCCGGAAAATTGCAAAAACTTGAAATGTGTCCCCAAGTGGAGTCGCAAAAACCATCAAGCGCTACAACGAAACTGGCACACATGAGGACCGACCCAGGAAAGGAAGACCAAGAGTCACCTCTGCTTCTGAGGATAAGTTCATCCGAGTCACCAGCCTCAGAAATCGCAAGTTAGCAGCAGCTCAGATCAGAGACCAGATGAATGCCACACAGAGTTCTAGCAGCAGACCCATCTCTAGAACAACTGTTAAGAGGAGACTGCGCCAATCAGGCCTTCATGGTCAAATAGCTGCTAGGAAACCACTGCTAAGGAGAGGCAACAAGCAGAAGAGATTTGTTTGGGCCAAGAAACACAAGGAATGGACATTAGACCAGTGGAAATCTGTGCTTTGGTCTGATGAGTCCAAATTTGAGATCTTTGGTTCCAACCGCCGTGTCTTTGTGAGACGCAGAAAAGGTGAACGGATGGATTCCACATGCCTGGTTCCCACTGTGAAGCATGGAGGAGGAGGTGTGATGGTGTGGGGGTGTTTTGCTGGTGACACTGTTGGGGATTTATTCAAAATTGAAGGCACACTGAACCAGCATGGACCATCATTTATTTTTCAACAGGACAATGACCCCAAACACACCTCCAGGCTGTGTAAGGGCTATTTGACCAAGAAGGAGAGTGATGGAGTGCTGCGGCAGATGACCTGGCCTCCACAGTCACCGGACCTGAACCCAATCTAGATGGTTTGGGGTGAGCTGGACCGCAGAGTGAAGGCAAAGGGGCCAACAAGTGCTAAACACCTCTGGGAACTCCTTCAAGACTGTTGGAAAACCATTTCAGGTGACTACCTCTTGAAGCTCATGGAGAGAATGCCAAGAGTGTGCAAAGCAGTAATCAGAGCAAAGGGTGGCTATTTTGAAGAAACTAGAATATAAAACATGTTTTCAGTTATTTCACCTTTTTTTGTTAAGTACATAACTCCACATGTGTTCATTCATAGTTTTGATGCCTTCAGTGAGAATCTACAATGTAAATAGTCATGAAAATAAAGAAAACGCATTGAATGAGAAGGTGTGTCCAAACTTTTGGCCTGTACTGTATGTGTTATGTTTCTGCATATGCATTGTTATCTAGACGTGTTGAGTTTGAATTTGAATGCTTGAATATCGCTAATTCACGATGTAGCCCACATGAATATCTATTCCGTGCAAGAAGCCTACGTCGACAATACGCATGACGTAGGTGAATACGTCTGTTACGCTAATTTGCATGAAGTGGCGTCCCAATTCGTAGGTAAAATTCCCTACCCCTCAACACTACCCCTTCGTCACTGAGGGAAATCTATCTAGTGAGTGCACTTGAAACCAAGGGGTAAGGTCAAGGGAAGAGAATTGGGATTGGCCCAAAGACTAAACTGAGTCAGCTTTGGTTCTGACAAACAGTCACGTCGGTCACCTTGTTGGTCTGCGCCGGCTGCTCCACCCTCTGAGTCTTCAGCTCAGCGATCTCAGCCTCTAGCAGGTGGATCACCTCCTCGTAGTCCATCTCCATCCCCCTCGCCTGCTTCTGAGCCGCCTCGGCCAGCTGGATCCGAGTCCTCAGAGCACGACTCTCCTCCGCTCCCAGTTTCACTTCCTGCCGAAAGGTTGCAGAGGAAGGAGGAAGAGGAGGAGGAAGAGGAGAGAGATTCATCATCACAGCTCAACAAGTGAACAGATTACTCAGCAGAGTATCATCGGGGCCTCTGCGGTGCATTCAGGGTCCCGCTCAAAGCTTCTTAACCCTCATACATTTTTCAAGGTGCTGCAGTGGTGATTTTGAATTCTTGGTGTCAGCTTGAGTTAGTGTGATGAAGCTCTTTCACTGGATCAGCAGTCGAGTCCCAGCAGGCCTGTCAGCGCCCAGCATACTTCTATCTTTGATAAGGTTACAGAAGTTTAAAAAGATGCATCACTGAGAAACCAGAGCAGAAACAGTGATGTGTTTAACTACTGTTGCTCCTGTGATGTGAACCTGATTTTCATACATTTAAATGTGAATTTACTGTGATATGAAACAGAGAAAAGTCCTGAAATGAGAAAAACTAGAAGCAGAGAATGTTTTTTTTCTGCTTCATAAATGACGATTATCAAAATGACTTGGTCAGTTTAATAAATTTGTCAAATCCTGTACCTGCTGAACCTTTCTAAAAGCCCTTTAATCCCCCTTTAATCAGTGTTTACTAATGCAGGGTTCAGACTACACAATATTTTTGTCTGTTCTGACAGTCACTGTCAGATCAGGTGATTGTGGAGTTAAAATCTTGCTGTGACTTGGCCGACAGACATGACAGACTACACTGGTCCACGACCAATCATCTCTGGTCGTCTTTCACGATGTGCGAGATGTCATTGGATTATTCTTATCCTAGTCTTCTTATTGTTATCATCATTATTATTTCAGTTACTGTAGCTGCTGACATCCAGCCGAAATGTTATTGTAATAACGTAAAAAAAAAAGTGCCACCAGATGGGCGGAGCAACATTTAAAGTACCTTCAAACAGAATCAGCATTGGTCTGCGCAGCCATGAACTACGCGACACTGCCTCCACGATCTCTAGTGGCACAGCTCTGTTTTCATGTGTATCCGTAAGCTCTTAGAAAACATGCACAGATACACAATCAATGCAAATCTCAGATAGAAGGCTCCATCTGTCTCTGTCTCCGACTACATTCAGCATAAATGAGCCCTTACGCTGTGTCAACACTACGAGCAACAACTCAACGGCATGACCAGCTAAATATTCACAGAGTCGCTGTTGAAGTGTTGCTCAAGTGCTCGGTGACACAGAAACGTCATCACGGGCTTGTGTGAGTCTTGCTTCACATCAATAGTGAACCCCATTTTAACGTCACATTTGAGGCCAATTCAACTTTGATTCGTAGTGCGTCACACCCATCTGCAGCTGGTATTACTTGTTGGGCGTCAGTTTGAAGCTTCATGTCAACAGCTTCCATTGAAAATGACTTATAGCCTGTTGATTTGTCACTCGTAGTGTGAACGCAGCATTAAAAACACAACCTGATCACTAGAATCAGACTGTTCTCACAAATTATTGATTATAAATCAATTATGTTTTCCTGCGATAAGCAATGCAACCACATGTGCTGACTAACCACTAAGCAGGCAGGTTGGGGTGGTGGATGGGTCACAAAGAAACGAACCTTTGCGTGGAACTTTTCCCTGGAGTTGTGTGTTTGAATCTGTGTGAACTTTGAGTAATTTTAAGGTACGACCTCACCATGTTTCTTTCCCTAATCCCAATCACAGTAACTTTTACTGCTTTAATTTAACCTCCGTAACTTTATGTTAATTACAAAACTGTATGTTAAGGATGTAAAGTCATTCGTGGGGAGCAAATTCTTAGGATATTGTACGAACTGTTCTATGAGAATATGTTTCCAGGGTGCATGTTGGCATTGTAAATTACTACATATGTGTTATGTGTTGAACATGTGGTGGACAAGATCATGTTTTGGCTTAAAATATCAGGTTTTCATGGCACTATCCTGGCAGGAAACACAGAGAGCATGTTTGGTGGCTATAAAGCTGCTTGAAACACAGCGCTGACTTGCAGGTTGTAGGTCTTGAACTGTGGTCTGCAGCTTAGCAGGCGTTCACTTCGCTGTCACTGTCATAGCTGAGCTGTCAGCTCATATGCTGCTTAAGTTTAGAAACGATATGAATAGTATTAAACGTATGTAACACATCTGTGATTTGCAGATGATGCCAGCATTTCCCTGTAGCAGCTGGGCTGAAAAACTATAGAAGACTAAAATACCATTAGAATATAACATTAAAATTTAAACAGTTATTTAAATTGTTCAGAAACACATATTTCATTTGTTTTAACTTGGCATTGTTATTTTATTTTATTTTATTTTATCTTACGTGCTAATTTTGTCTTGATTGTAGGTATCATACTGAAATAGTGACAGAGTAATAATGTATCTTATCCAGTGTTTTTTCACATCCATTTCATATTTGCACTTTCTAAAAGAATGGCACTGGACCAAACAAACAATTTCTAACTCTACCTGGTTATCTTTAATCACTTTAAACTCTCAGTAACTGTGTATAAGGTGGTGAAACCAGTGAAACCAGTGACTCTGTCCACGTGGTTTCAACAAAGCTCCACTTCACAGTCAGTGTTTGAGGCCAGGAGGGAAAACCAGCCCTCAGAGTGGAAGTTACATAACTGAAACAGACACCCGCAACAATTAAGACACTGTAACCCCCCTTGACTGGGAAGCAACCACTCCCAGTACTGTTGGCACACTGGCAACCAGTAACTCTAACCCTGTGGTAGTGAAACAAACACTAGAGCTTCTGCAGCGCTGCTCTCGTCCACAGTAAAGTGATCCTCAGAGGTAGCAAAAGATAACAAGGCTTTACAAATGAGTCGTGAATATTGTCATGCAGCTGAGGGAGCATGAGTCAGCACTAACACACCACTGAAGACACAGAGACGGACAGTTCTGCTCACAGTATTAGTACTGTTAATATTTCACTGTGAGTATAACTGCTGTCCACATACTTCTGTACACTTTTCATGTCCTGGTTTGGGCCCTGGAGGCTCAATTTGTCTCTTTGTTGGTTTTTCCATCAGAAAAGTTGTGGATAGTACCTGATACTTTTTTGTTATCACCTCGGTCATAGTTCCAAGTGAGCTGATCAGTTCTAGAAAGTGGAGTTTTATTCACTTGACCCAGATTTTTTTAAAAAAAGGCAACTACACCATACACTATTATCACCCACCTACAGTGCAGTCTTGGGATCCCTCCAGACGACTTCACACCCATCCACCCCTGGTCCCATCTGACCCTAACGACTCACATGGTGGCCAGGTGGGTCAACGACTCACATTGTGACCTTAACGACTCTGAAACTAAGAGCTCACGTGACCCCTACGACTCTGCAAGGCTTCCCACCCACACAGGGTTTATAGCCTGCAACTTCGTACCAGTCATTTAGAACTGAAGAAGCTTCTTGGATGAGAGGCGAAACGTCTTCAAGAAGCGCAAGCAAGTCCAGTTGCCTACGATATAGCACTTATGAATACACACATCATAACATTGTGCAAATAATGCAGCGCCACTGAAATCATCTATGTTTCTTACTGTTTTTGCTTTGTCTGTGACCCCAACGTCCCCCAGTCCACCCACACACACTTGACATGTCACCACGACACACTAAATAGCTAGCTAGAACCCAGTGTTGGGCTTGTTACTCTAAAAATGTAGTTTTATTTAGGTTCGGGAACAAAGACCACGCCTTGAACAAATCCCATTTCCGCCCAATAGTATTTAAGCACACCTGTTGCATTCTCTCTCTCTTCGAGACATTTCTCACATCCCACCTGCCCAGTCCTTTTTTGCCTCTTACATCTTTTTCTCTGCTCCTTTCTGCATACAGGAACCAGTGGGGGCTCTATCTGAAGCTGAGCTCACGAAGAGGCAACTCCCCCATCCAGCCTCACTCCCGGGATCCGTCCTGCGTACCTGCGTACCGACCCAACACATTGACCATCGTGCTCACCTGCTACCCAGGAACCCAGCCTTCATCCCTCAACCCTTAAGGCCCTGGCACACCAAGTCGATGGTCGGCCGTTGACCAAAGTTGGGCCACCGGTGAGCGTCTGTCGCCCTAGTTTTTGCGGTGTGTCCTGCACCGTCGGCACTTTGGCGTCAGCGGCTTTTCGGCCGATTGGGCATGTTGAATTGCCGGCGGAGCTTGTTGGTGAGAGAGATCACTCTTATTGGCTGTTCAGGTTTTATTTCCTTGCCCAGTCCTCACTCTATATCCCTTGATCTTTACCCTGTCATCCCTAACCTTTCATTCATCTTTTCCTCCAGATTCATAATCCATCATACGCAATAAATCATTCAAAATCTTTACCTTGTTGGTGTGGTCTTTGTTAGTGAAAAATGTAATGTATTACTCGTTTCTCTTTTCAAAAGTTATTTTACTTATTACTCCCTGCCAACAGTAATTTGTTACAGTACTGCTTATATTACTTTTCTGTTACACCCCAAAAAAATTGGTAATTGTGCATCGCTGGTAAGTGTAGCTGAGGCTAGATAGAGTGCAAATTATTATTATTATCATTATTATTATTATTATTATTATTATGCTGTTGTGATGTTGTATTTCAGGTCAACAGTGAGGTGATAGCAAAGTACAAGTAATTAGTTACACTACTTGTTACTGGAAAAATGAATATTATTACTGAAACGCGTTACAGGTGACAGGTTGGTGATATCTCAGATGAAGCCCAGGATGTTGGAATGACATGTTCAACAATCACATTTGGAGACAAAAGTCCAGGTGTCCACATACTTTTGGCAATATAATCTTCATTTTAGTTACTTCTGCCTTCAAATGACTCGCACTATACCAGAATAAGCTTCTAAGTTTTCTCCAAAGATCAGCATGACTGTTACCATGTGTATTTCCACAGTGTCTAAATATTTTCTCTCATTAGAGCAGCATTTAGAGGAGCAGCCCTGATGGAGGTGTGAGCTCCCTCTGTGTTTCTCTCATTGTTTTGTCGGCACACACACATGCATGAAGCAGTGATCTTGGCAGCCTTGCT